TGAAAATACATAATTAAAGTGGGTATCAGACCCTCTTGAAGGCTGTGGTGCCACACCCTGAAATAACTGGTAGAAAATATACCAAAAAAAGCAGATTGGGCTTTTAAGTAAGGTTCCAAATAGAAGTTATCATCCAGAAATATAAAAACCATATAAGCTTACTTGCTTTACATAAAACATAATTTATCAAACATGATTAAAACCTGATCTCTGCATGAATTCATAACATAACCTCCTTAAAGTTGTTTTAGAGTATCGTGTGTACATTGTATGATCCAATCAATGCATTCAATTTCCAAAGGTAAGTATTGTGGTGCTGGTTTCAAATCGATGCATTTCGCCTAAGCTACCTCGCCGAAAAGCACCTGGAAACATGTACAGCTTTGCTATTGCTGAATGGACACCTAGATGTTCAGCAGCATCTAGATGCATTCAGTTTTGCTGCGTTGACACAAAACAAGAATTGTCTGCGTGCTGGGACTGTATAGCCTGGTTTTATGTAGCTAAATGCACTTAACTGTGTGACGCAGCTAAATCCAGGAACATCTAAACCTAGGAAGAAGTGTTCTGGGAAGCATGAATGTTGTTTATACTTTTGAGATAACTTCTCTTGTGTTTATAACAGTAGGCCCATGTGCATGAGGCCTAACATGTTTACAAAGTGTTTAATTGAAGCCATATGTCAACAGAGCTCTTGACACTGCTTTTAACCTGTACTGCAGGTTGTTATCCAACATGGCCCCACTCACAAGAAATGTTGTATTACATTAAAGCATGAGTAGCCCCATTTCGGCCCTCCAGTTGTGGTTAAACTACAGATCCCATGAGGTATTGCAAGACTCTGAAAGGCACAGGCATGACTTCAGAGTAAGATGAATGACAGGGTTTGTAGTTTCACAACAGCTGGAGGGCTGGAGTTCTGCTCCCCCCTGCATTAAAACATATCCTAGACATTGGCAATACTGTTAATAATGGCAAATTGTATAAACAGTAAAAGGCATATTTACTGAGCTAGGTAATTTGTCTTGTCTTTCTGATAGTCCTCACAAACATGTTCCCCTTCATAATATTCTTTCATTTCTTTGGGCAAGTCAGAGTCCTCATTTGGCAGGGCAAGTACACAGGGTGTTCGTTCTAGAAGAGTTTTATCACAACAAGCGGCTAGGTGGCTTGAGAGTTTGTCCTTATCTTTACATATATGATCTGTCACTTCCATCTGTCAAAGATATAAAATACAACAAAACTTTAATTAATGACACCTGTCATCAGTTGATGGAAAGAAATAAGCTTCACAGGCATACAATATCATTATCAGATGTCAAATTACTAATAATAATGTACAATTAGGTATTATGGAAAAGTATAAATGCAATATTTTGTGGATAGACTTACCCTTTCTAGCATACATTCCACGGAATCACCTTTGCAGCAGTCTTTGGTAAAATGTACAATCTCCAAAGTCAATTTTTCCACACTTTGAAAATCAGCTTTACCAAACCTTTGGGCGACTTGAACTAGTACTCTGATCAATGAAAAAAAGCAATTACAACCCAGAAAAAAAGGGCTTGTTGATAAAACAGTATTTTCCATTACTATGTTAATATATTGAGTATATTACACCATAATCTTAAAGTGTATGAATAGCCTTAAAGGAGAACTATGAGGTGAGTGCTTTTCACTCACCTCATAGTTCTAGCCGACCTGTGACAATGAGACTGTCACAGGTCAGCTCAGTAGATCGGGAGGTGAGCAAACATATACCGGCGTTCGCTCACCTCTCGATCCTGTCACAGCTCTCTGCCGTGACAGGGGAGGAACTGGATTCCCTCCCTCCCCGCAGCAGAGCCAGCTGTCACTCACGCAGCTGGGCGGATCTCGACATTGATGTCGGGATCCGCTCCGGCTGCGGCGTCTCAGTATACCGCGAGCTGTAGCTCGCGGTATACTGAGCTTAGGGTAACGGGAGGACGCTAGTTTGTGTCCTCCCGTTACCCTAAGGAGAACTATGGGGAAAAGCCCTGACCCCATAGTTCTGCTTTGACAATTATTTTAAAATTCTGCATTTGAGTCCAAATCCCCTGTTAAGTTTTTATGGGTGTCTGTTACATCGCTGAGTAGATTCAGAGAGGTTGAATTACTAAGAGACCTTGTCTTCCTGCGTTAATGCACATGTAGTAACACACTTTGTTATGCATTAACATGGGTTAAAGTCACACTCTTGGCAGAATGATAATTTATGCACATAACTGGGTGTGTATATCATCATTAAAATGCTGGGTGTTATATGCAGAGGGTGGCATCAAAGTAGAAAAATCTTACCTTGCAGCGCACAGTTCCAGGATGCCCAGCTTCCGGGCACTGAAGAGGGGGAACTATGCATATTAAAGGAGAACTATGGGGTCAGTGTTTTTCCCCATAGTTCTCCTTAGGGTAACAGGAGGACACAAACTAGCGTCCTCCCGTTACCCTTAGCTCAGTATACCGCGAGCTACAGCTGGCGGTTTACTGAGACGCCGCACCTGGAGCGGATCCCGACGTAGTTGACGGGATCCGCCCAGCTGCGTGAGTGACAGCTGGCTCTGCCTATCTAGAGGCAGAGCCAGCTGTACCCGCCCCCTCCCCCGTCCGTTCCGCCAGTCAGCGCTGGCAGATCGGAGCGGGGAGAGGGGAATCCAGCCCTCCCCCTGTCACGGCAGAGAGCTGTGACAGGATCGAGAGGTGAGGGAACCCGGTATGTGTTCCCTCACCTCCCGATCTACTGAGCCGACCTGTGACAGTCTCATTGTCACAGGTCGGCTTAGAACTATGAGGTGAGTGGAAATCACTCATCTCATAGTTCTCCTTTAAGCTATAAAGCGCTCTGGTCGCTTCACCCGTACCTTTTCACTACAGCTGGCGGTTTACTGAGACGCCGCACCTGGAGTGGATCCCGACGTAGTTGACGGGATCCGCCCAGCTGCGTGAGTGACAGCTGGCTCTGCCTATCTAGAGGCAGAGCCAGCTGTACCCGCCCCCTCCCCCGTCCGTTCCGCCAGTCAGCGCTGGCAGATCGGAGCGGGGAGAGGGGAATCCAGCCCTCCCCCTGTCACGGCAGAGAGCTGTGACAGGATCGAGAGGTGAGGGAACCCGGTATGTGTTCCCTCACCTCCCGATCTACTGAGCCGACCTGTGACAGTCTCATTGTCACAGGTCGGCTTAGAACTATGAGGTGAGTGGAAATCACTCATCTCATAGTTCTCCTTTAAGCTATAAAGCGCTCTGGTCGCTTCACCCGTACCTTTTCACTATCCTCCATTCACAAAATGTCTTTTTTTTAAAGAATACACGACATTCCAATCACACAATGTCTTTGTATGCTTTAGCAATAACAGTAACCTCCATTGGGAAAACCTGAACTCAATAATTTGGTGGGGGTGGGCAACATTTGTTTGGCCATACAGTAAATATAACAGTATAAGTATGCAGAAAGTCATTTTATCCATTTTTTCAGTGAACATCAACAAGTCAGACTAAGATAAAGACATCACTGGGAAGAGTAAGAGAAGATTGAATAGTTCAGGTAGACACAATCCAATTTGTTGATTATGTTTGAAAATACAAATAAAGCTCTCCACACTTCCCCTACATAACTTTACTGAACTGTCGATAGATACTTACAGTGCCTGAAAAACTCTTTCTGGAAAGGATGCAAGAATACGGCATTTCTGTTTATGTGTATTTTCAATATAGTTTGTTAATTTCTTGACAAAAATGAAATTGTCCTAAAGCTATTATAGTTTCCCTTTAAAGACTTTCTTTTGAAGTAATAAAACTTGTTACGCATATATACACCCTCCAGCCTGGATATTTTTACACCCACTCCCAATGCACCCCTACTCCATCACTGTCCTCTAATACCTAGGTAATGTATCTACTCTGCTTAGAAAGCACATAGTAAAGTATCCAATGCAGAGCTATCAGTGCTGACTGAGTTCTCTCCTACTGGGCTACTGGAGTGCCGTAATCCAGCAGAGAACTGGGCCAGACAGACAAAACTGCTTAGGATTTCAATGCAGCAGGTTGTGCTGTCAGCCTATAACAGGACCCTCAATGCTCATTGGGTTTTTAGCAGACAAACAGGTTTTCTTTTGTACTTGCAGCCCTTTTAAAAGGAAAAACATTGTGAAATATATTTGACAAATGTACTGCATATATTTTTGTATATTGCTCAGTCATACACATTAAATGTGCAATAACACAGTTCCACTTTAAGAAGTTGTATGACCTACCCGTTCAGAAAAGCATTTGGGCTTGTCTTCTGCTGCACAACATTCCGTGGTGATTTGATTGTATTGAATAGCAAAGCCCAGAACAGCTGGTGGATAGAGTTTTGGATGTCTTTTAGCGATATTAGAGAGGTAGCTAAAATATAAAAAAATGGAATTGTTACATTTCCTAAATGAATGTACTGAACATTATCAGTTCAGTTAACACGGCAGTCCGAAGAGCAGTCAAGTAAAATTTTACTGTGCTGTGGTCAGGTAAGTGATAGATGAATTTTAGGGCGATAAGTAAAAATGCTAGAAGAGAAAATGTTGTCAGCCTTGTTTACTTATGAAGTGAGGTAATGTGAGCTTAAACTTTGAGCAGAAGAAAACTTAACCCTTACAATGGGGCTTTCCCCACACTGCAAGGGTGAAGTGCTTGTTTGGTCTAGGGATGACAATAAAAAGGATATACTCACCCAATCCTTGGTCTCACCTGGCTGTTAGTGCAGCCACTATTTCCCTCCACACTGGTGTTCTAAGAACCCGTGAATCATCGTGTTCAATACACATGTGAGGATGCCGAGGGACATTCCAACGCTGCAGCGGAGGAGGAGAGAGACTGCAGAAACCGGTCCTAGCAGCCAGGTGGGACTTAGGTTTGGGTTATTTTAGACCCTAGACTTAAAAAAAGCACTTCCCCTTTGCAGTGTGAGGAAAGCCCCACTGCAAGGTTACATTTTCTTCTGCCCGGAGTTCTTCTAAAACCTGTTCTCCAGCCAAGTGCAGAAGAAGCTCCATATTTTTCAAACTCTCCTACGCAAGTATTGGGTGGTTGATGTAAAACACAGGTGTACTTTTACACTTTAGAAAAATTCAGAGGGCAAAACAGAAGCAGTTTTAAGCTGTCTATACCCCCATCCATCAGCCAGGCTATTTTTGAATAGGCTTCTTTGACACAATTAACTTTTGTTGAACGGGACTATACAAGACTATAGAGAGATCGATAGGTATGAGACGTAAACTGGGCTTTTAGAAAAATTGTATTAATACTCACCAAAATGTTCCTTTCCTGGTGGTGGACGCCGTTCAAAGGAAGTCGTAAAGTCGTATGACAAAACGCGTCAACGCGCAGCCACACGCTGAGCTCAC